AGAGAGAGAGAGAGAGAGAGAGAGAGAGAGAGAGAGAGAGATCTGCTATGCACTCATTTGCCCATTTGCTATCATGGATACTATAAAGTTAATATACAACGAACGTGCTGTAGCCGACACGGTATGGGTCAAATACACAATAGTAGGGTGTTCCAATTTCACTATTTTATATCCAGCTAGTGACCTCATTCATTGCTCTCAAGCACTCCCTCGTTTGATATGCAACCATATTTTCGTGTCTATCCAAGGTACCAATCTTTATATTATATACTTGCGCATTCGGTGTAGATGTCTACAGATGGACTACTTTTGGCGTTCTCGGCTTACAGGTTAATTTAGGAGTAATTTTAGGTGCTCTTTTTAAAAATATTTTCACAAGTTTTTTTTTAAACCCGTTAAAAAAAAACCCAAGTAAATACTTCAGCTGATATCGATAGCAATATACTAGATGAAATAATGAAATCAACGCAACGCTTTTTATACCTCCCCAAGGCACAAATGATGCCAGGTACACGTTAGTTCCATGGTTCTCCTTCAACCAATTCCTGCAAGTAACCGTCCCATCACAGAGCGTTATGTATTTATTGGGGGGTTTTTGTGGGGGTTTTGTGGGGTTTTTGGGTTGGGTTTTTTTCTGCGAGAGAATGGAGGCACAGAATGAAAAGATGAATGTATCATTTCATAAAAATGCATACGCATAATGCAGTTTTTTAACGTTTAAGAGTTTTTACATAAACGGTTCGCCATGCCCATCACCAAGGGAGATTGCGTCGAAGATCCCGATTCTGTAGTACTCAGACAAAATTAATGCCTGCCCGTGTAACAGCCAGAACCAACCCCCCCCCCCCCCCTCCCCCTCCCGAAATGTTGTAAGTTTCACATTAGATCTTGAGTTGAATCAAAATTCGTGCTCATACTATTGTGGCGGTCTATGAACTGGCATTTCTTTACCTCTACCTTTGATTTATTTATCTTTATTATAACCATAAAAGGCAATTAACCTATGATAAGATAACAATATATGTGAAATTGCAACACACGGACGACGAAATTGAAACATGTACCTATGGTTTAACAAAACACTCTCAAATTTATATGTTATGGGGCTTGTTTATTTTTCATATCTACTTCAATTGCCGCCCCTTGATCTTCTTGTCTCTCTTAATGTCACATTTCAGTGATTTAGAAAACAGTGGAATGACCTGTTGTCCGAAATGTTCTCAACTTTTCGAGAAGACATGCCAGATGCCCTATCGCAGTACAAACATCTCCTTTGAAAAGGTATCCAGCGTCCACCCTTGTATTTTTCTATTGTAGACATGATAGACATGATTGTTTGACAGGTAAGCTCTAGAAAATTGCATGAGTCACTGTGGAAAATATTTCATTCACAGTAGGAAATAACATTAAGTGTAAACAGCAAACGCTTTACAGAATAAACCCACATGCACATATGTAAAGTATTATTTTAGCAGCCCGGTTTATGCATCGGAAAATAATATATCTCGATAGATCAAAGAAAAAAAGCTAGGAGGAGGTAAAACGTTTGGAGGGGGGGGGGGGTCTGCTTGGTACCATCATTATTTTAATGCAACTACTCCGTAGACAAAGAAGAGGAAATAGTGATGTTCCACTTATCATTAATAATCACCGGGGGGGGGGGGGGGGGGTTAATAATCATTGCGATAAGGATAGATGATTTGATAAATGTGATCTCTTTCCAAGTACTTTGGTAACGATCAAGATATAACATCGAAACAAGATTATAATTTGACAGATTTTTTACTTGGTATCGATATCGTAGTTGGAGACAGGATTATAATTACGTGCCGTACGGGAGTGCTAGACATTATGAGTATCTCAGATAATCATCGACACGTAATTTGTTAGGCATTATACTTAAAAAACCGATGCATCGTATTTATGCAGTTCAGCAATTTGTCTTATAATCATCCACGGCGTATCAGTTATCACCTACTTGAATCCAGAAGACCGAGTATATCAATTACCTCCTTCGCTTGAAAGGACTGATAACCTGATCAAATACAATTAGCGTATAGATTTTCGAAGGGACACATCCTGTAAGTTTTCTGGAAATTGTTGTTATTCAAATACCATTTTGTTTTTAAACACCCTCACGGCATTGATTAGGACTTTGATTGCGATTCTCGGTAGAACGGAGATGACTAGAGGAGGCGATATTTTGTCGTGATGATGTACATTCTCCGAAACTAGGCGCTGGCAGTCATGCCAGAAAAGTGGTGGATATTTGCAAAACGTTTTTGACCAAAAGTACAAAAACTGCTCTGCAATAGAAATCAGACGCAGGAAATGCCTGTAATAGGAAAACAGTCTGGAAGCTATTTCTCAAAGCCCTTCAGTAGATGACTATAATATTTGATAAGAATTGTATTCGGCGACATGGTATGACTTTTACTGTATTTTGCTTATTGGTTACGTTTCTAAATACAAGAACGTGTTTGTTAGCGCACTCTCTAAGCAGAGTTGCGGTTTGACAAGTAGGTAGAAATATCAATTTCATTTGATATTTTAACTAAAGTAGCAAATTACAGAGAATGAGTGACCATCTACTGGACTTTAGGTGCGTAGAAATTTGCGTTCAAGACTGAGGGATAAAGGACACTAAATCTTTAGGCTATTCCTTAAACTCTCTGGTCTCTAGTCAGCTCGTACTTTTCTTTTTTTTTTAACACCCGCGATGAGGGGCTGCTCTCTTAGCACTAACACTACCGGTTTGGACTGCTCCGATGCAGATGACCTTGCAGACAATGTGGTGCCAAAAGGACTTATTACTGCTGAGCAGCAACGGATAATTCATTTCGTAATAATAAATGTGATGTTTCCAATGATAGAACTTTTCGGAATCTTCACAAACTCTGCGAACATCTTGACGTTTTTGAAAATAGGACTGAGTGACAGTGTCAATGTTTCCTTTTTTGCTTTGTCCATGTCGGACTTATGCCTTCTTGTTGTGTCACTTTTCAATTATATTTCGCACATCCTCAACGAGTTTGACCTCGACTGGCCTGTCCAGCCAAGTGCGTTGCAATTGCACGGAGCGACATATTACAAGATCTTTGTCGAAGCGTCCATTCTAACCACCACATACATAAGTGTTCAGCGTTGCTGCTGTGTGGCTCTACCGTTCCGGTTCAAAACCGATTTCACCGTCAGGAGAAGTCTAATAATCTTCTCTTTTATCTATACGTTTGTCCTGGCCTGTTACATCCCAATGATATTCACGCAGACTCTAGTGGAAGCCATCAACCCGAAACAAAATACAACATGGTACGTGCTGTCTTTCACTCCAGAGAGAGAATCCGTTTTGGTTGTGTACGTAGTATTTAACCGTCTCATTCTCCCAGCCGCAGCCCAATCAGTGGTCATGATTTGTCTCATCATTCTCAGCACCAGTCTACGTAAAGCCAGCAAGTTCCGCTCCACGCTCGTCCCAATGCCCACGAAAGACCAAACGCTAGGGGACAAGAGCAGCTTAAAGCCTGCAAACAGAAGAGAGATCCAGGTTGTGAAGTCAACTGCCCTTGTTGCCGTGGTATTTGTTATCACCAACACCCCTACAGTCATGATATCTTTTGCCCGGAGATTCGTCCCAAGTTTCAACCTGTTCAAACGGTACCACAGAATATATATCAGTTCGAACGTAATACGGAACCTGTTTGAATTCTGTGGTGCATCATTCAACATTTTCATCTATCTAAATTTTAACAAAAAATTTAAGGATACTTTCACAGCCACATTTAGAAAGTCTTATTTAAAGTAATTTGGTGTGGTGAATCGCAGTATTTTTACCCTTTAATAAAGACTTAGGAAACCAATAGAGTTATTGAAAACTTTTCGTATGAAGGATTGTGTTTTTGTGATCGAAATACCCCCCCCCCCCCCCCCCCCCACCCATTGTTTCATTAAACAGGAGGTTTGAACCTTGGCAGGTTAATCATTTTTCTTTGAGGGCGGTATTGGTGTTGGCAGCTACTGGGCGTTATTCAGCACAATCCGGACTTGCTTGTATGTCGATCTCCTTGGTATTATCTAGGTATTTCGTCACTTCAGAATTACAAAGTTCTTTCTGACAGTTTTGGCCGTTTTGAGTTACTAAGACTATTGGGTCAGAAAGCGATTAATGTTCAATCGGCTCTCAGAATCGTAGGAATAATTAATATTCGGAGTCGTTATCAAGATATTCAAAGAATTGCATTCGAAAAAGCTGCACCTATTGTGAAACTCCAATTTTTTACGTCATATTTCTAAAAAATAGGCACTGATCAGACAGAACTTTGTAATATAATTCTGAGGTAGCGATTTGGTGCTCAGTATTAGTTTTAACTCCCCTGTTAACTCTTTCAAATCAAGTGCTAGTGCACTGGTATAACCGGTTTAGCAATTCAGACGACATCCAGGTAATAAAATATGACACAAAGAGGGTTAATATGGAAAGAGAATACTTTTAGAGGCCAATCCACTGGGTCTGAAGTCCAGCCCCGATAGGACGTAGTCAAGTAGCCTGAGACTTGAACGACTTCTAAAACAAAATAAGTTCAACAACGCTCCCTCGCGTGTGTAATCCGCAGCTTGCTCTGTGTTACCTAGAAATCCGAGAAATCGTGTTGGATGGTCTGCTGGGGTATACTTACTTACTTTTACTTTTTCATCCTCTTTTGCCGTTTAGCGTCGAGGGGAGATGCAGTTTTCTATGGTAGGCCAGCTCCGCAGCTCCTTCAGTAGTGATAATATTATGTTTTCGAAGGGTTTCCTTGACACCCTCGGTCCATCTTTTGCTTGGCTTTCCTCTTCCTTTATAGCCTGAGTGCTTGGTGTTGTAGGCTCTCGGGGAGGGCTGGCCAGGTGGCATACATAACAGGTGGCCAAACCATTGTATTCTCTGTCTTTCTATGTAATGCAGGCAGGACACAATGCCAACAGCTGCTCTTACTTCTTCATTTCCCTGCTTGTCTCGTCTTGTGATTTGCGGAGACATTTTCATTTCGCATGCGGTTATTTTCCTTTCATGGGTTTTACTTAATGCCCAAGTCTGCCTCTGGTAGCATAATGTTGGTAAAAATAGTGATGTGATAAGCGGTCTCTTTGTGTCCTTTGAGATGTTTGGATGAGATCGGAGGGGTACGAGCTGGTAGGTGACTGCATTAGCTTTTTGATTTCGCATTTCTATTTCTACGGACCCGTTTTCAGAAAAAGTACAGCCAAGATATTCACCAGTTTCAGTTGTTTACTATTGACAAGGATGTCCAGGGGACTACGGTTTCGGCTCACTTTCATAACTTCTGTTTTTGACGTGCTTATTTTCATGTAAAATTTCTCGCAGCTGTTGTTCAGTTCGGTAGTGTGGTTTTGGAGGCTTTGTTGGTTTGGATGAATAAGGCGCTGGTCGTCTGCGAATAGGAGTTCATTAAGGCTTTCTGGGATTTGGTTTGCGTCTGGCATTATTGTGTCCATATATATTATAAACAGAAGGGGAGATAGAATGCATCTCTGCAGTACTCCAGATCTTACTTTGAACCAGTCTGCATTGCCTTCCTTCATTCTTACTAAGCTTTTGTTTTGGTGTATAGAGCTCTGACATTATCTAACATTTGTCCTCTGACGCCATACTTTTCGAGTGACTTTCAGAGTTTTGCATGGTTTACCCTGCGGGTCCACTGTGACGGACACGCCCGATCTTTTGACTTGAGGAAGAAAACCGGTCGGGTCGTTTCCATCTTGTGTGCCCACCAGTTCGGACAAGACACCTATCGTCTGTTGGCCTACTGTCCGTCTTTTTCCACACACTGTGTTCCAAGGCTGTGTCCTCGGTACAGGGCTATAAATAGTCGAGGTCAATGAACCCAAGGCGGGAATAAGAAATGAAAGGGATTTTTTAAAGGAAAATTGGTAAGATTGTTAATATGCCTTTAAACTAGGTGGTTTGAGAGTAAACTTTGCTAATTTTGAGGCACTGATTACGAATATGACATTATAATTTTAATCTGAACTCAAAATTGGAATTTTTTTTAGCTCCAGCGGGGCCTATGGCTCTTGAGTCATGACCCGCCTGGCTAAAATGCAGCAAGCGTTTTTCCAACCGAAACGCATTTTGTCGGGGCGTGTCGTGTCGAGTCTGTTGACACAGCCAAACGGACTTTTCATTGATTTCACAGGAAATAGATTGTGCTCCATTTCAACTACTGACTTTCCGAGAGACGGACGGAATCGGTTCGGTTGGTGTTCAAGGTGTCCGTCGCAGTGGACACGGGCCATAACTCTGTCAAAAGTCTTCTCCCGATCTATGTTGGCGATGTTGGATAATGAAAAAGAAGTTTATTTCATACAGTGACTGTCGACCATCGAACGTTAAAAATGCTCATTCGCTTTAATTGTTTATGGCAATTGCACTCATTTTCATGCCCCCCCCCCCCCCCCGTGTTTCTACTGTTTTTGGTTGTTTTTATTTGTGGGTTTTTTGTGTGTGTGTTTGGGGGGGGGGGGGGGGTTGCACTCCTTTAACTGGCGGCTGCTTGTACCAAGTGTCTAAATAAAGAGGGTCTGTTGAAAGGGGAATAACTTGGTTATTTTATTTCAACATTTGGAACACACGTAATTCAACCAAGGCGATAACAATAGACTCGTGAGTAGGATGAAAACTCAACACTTTCGTTCTATAAATATCAAGTTTTCAAAATTTCAACCAAAATTGAGTGAACTCAAACATTTGCAACTTATCTTTAAAAATCAGCTATGATGTGTGTATTGGTATGTTGAAGATCAACTTTATATAACACTGACATTACCAAACAAACTTTGAGAAGGTGGTATCTTTCAAATGAGTGAATGAAAACTTTGTCCTTCACACACACACACACAAATACTTTTCATGGGACAGACGATATTGAAGAGAGAGAGAGAGGGGGGGGAGGGGAGAGAGAGAGAGAGAGAGACAGACAGAGAGACAGACAGAGAGAGACAGAGACAGACAGACAGACAGACAGACAGACAAACAGACAGACAGACAGACAGACAGACAGAGACAGAGATATAGAGACAGAGAGACAGAGAGACAAAGAGAGACAGAGAGACAGAGAGACAAAGGGAGACAGAGAGAGACAGAGAAAGAAAAGGGAGAGGGGGGGATAGAGAGGGGATAAGATTAGGCGAACAAAATGAAGAGCATAGAAATACATGTATATGTAAAAGAGACTGCTAGTCGCGTTTAACTGTATGTTTGGGGTTCTTAACAGTTATCTTTTATACAGGGTAATTCAAAATTTAAAAAGAATACGGCAAAATCATCACACGATATGTCAAAAAACGAAAATCAATAGAAAACTCTAGCTTATACACATGTGTTGTACATACCTTCAAGTTTTTATTTCACCTTTTTCAAGTTCTTAATGTGCCCACACCGGCAGCACGGACAGCATCAAGCCGATATGAGATTCTTCCAAAACGCGCCTCAGAATGTCTCAGGCCACCGTGTTGATTATAATTATTGTTATTCGATCTTTCATGCTTTTGATATTTGCTGAAAGTGGTGGAACATAAGCTTTATCTTTAACATACCCCCACCAAAAAAATTTACACACAGTGGGGTCTTGGGATATGGTGGGCCAACTGCAAAGAGTGAAGTCTTTAGCACCTCTCCTACCAATCCACCGCTGAGGCACGTTTTCATTCAGATAAACTCGAACCCAGAGATGCCAATTGGGCGGTGCTCCATGTCATTGAAAATGAAGTCATTCGAATCTGCGTTCAGTAAAGTGAATAGCCACTTCTTGTAGGGGTATGTTAAAAACAAAGTTTATCATTTATGTTCCACCACTTTTAGCAAATATGGATGGCATGAAAGATCGAATAACAACTACAATCAACGCGGCGGCCTGGGACATTCTAAGGCGCTTTTGGGAGGAATTCTCATATCGGCTTGAAGCTGTCCATGCTGCCGATGGTGGCAACATTGAACTGAAGCCACCCCTCCTCCCTCTTTACTTCCTGTTCCCCTCTGCCCAATTACCCCCTCCTCCCCCTTTTTTTGTTTACATGAATGGTTCTCATGAAATTTCAATTTCTTAGAAATTCTACGTACAGGCTGAGCCAATGTTGGCACTATTCATCGAAATTAGCATTACAGAATGTTCCTGAATTGTGTCATAGTAGCCTACATTTACTTGGCATTGTCCATTGGAAGATCGGTTCGGTTCGGCTACATTTCTGGCGGCTTCGATGCACACTATAAATAGACCAATGACTCAAACCGATCGCCCAATTCGGGGCACTGAAAACAAATGCGTTTGTTCTTGAGGGTGCCACGATGGTAGCTTTTCTCCCTCCATGGAGAAAGATCTGGCCAGCCCCGACGACCAAACCGAGCCGATCTGGCTAATGGGCACTGGCACCGGGTATTGATCTCACATCGCACCTGACACCAAGTTTATGGAACGGTTGACCATAGTTCGAATTCCTGACTGGACACTCGGGTCGTTTTGTAGAGTTTTCAAGACTCTCAGCCAATTTGGTTCAGTCCTATCGGGGACGGCCGTTGAATCCGGAGGTCTGCCTCTTAACCCTATCCGTACGTCGTGTTTTACTATCGTATCCATACGACGTGGGGAACTCTGTGTCACCACTATCCAAAGAGAAAATTTACTCGTTAATCCGATCCGTACGCTTTGCATAGCAGTCTGTCAAAATAATTTTTTGAGAAACACTGAAAGTTTCAAATAGATCTTGGTACTAGAAGTATTCTGAATTGTGAAGAATACAACCCGGGGGGTATAAATGACCCCAGGCTGTACGGATAGGGTTACATAAACTAACAGTGTTCGTGTGGGGGTTAACCCCATATTATACTTACACTTACACAAAGAGTTTCGACCATTTGAGTCGAATGCGATGCCGAACATGATTGTGATCCGATTCATGAGTCATAAAACGTCGGTGGGGTGATAACTGTGAAGCTACCTTAAGGCAGACCGTAAAGCATTCACTTCCAAAATTATAGAGGCGCCCTAAAAAACTAATGATTTTTTCTTCTTTCCTTCTTTTTTCTTTTTCAATGTCTCTACTGGCTATGTTATAGGGACCTTGTTTCGTTTCTCAAAAAGTTCTCCCAAAACCAAAACTTTGCTTGCACTCTTTGTAGATAAGAAATGTGACTCCACAAAAGTAGTATCAAACACACAATATTCTTGTGGTCCTCACCGGCAATTTTTGGGGTCATATTTTTCTTTGATTTAGAATTACAGTATTTCGTTTTTTTCTTCTTTTTTTTTTTGGGGGGGGGGTGTTATATTTCTGGGTTATTGTTCTTTTTTTGGTGCGAGTAATGTTTAAAGGGGAAAATGCCCCCCCCCCCCCTCCCCCGGCAGTGCTACTGACTGAAGTGTCTTTAGGCCATTCCCAAAGGGGGGATATTAACATGTTCTTATGCACGGTAGAATTGAAAACGAGCTGATTTACCAATTTCATGCTCATACGATGCCAGAACAACATAGGGGGAACTACTGCTTTTTCTTTCCTCATCCTTATTATCGTCATTTTTTCATCTACTTCTTTTGTATGTTTGTCACTCTCTTGCGAACTGTTATTTCCAGGGTGCCTTGATAGTCGAAGCAGAATTTGTGCTGTTGAAGCTAGAGATGTGAGCAAAGTAAGCCTGATTCCCAGTATAGACATCTCTGTTGACATCGTCTCCTTGGCGCTCATATGACCTTATGCAGTTGCGAACGCCGTAAAACCTTACCAAAACAAAACCGAAGGGTAAATGGTCTAATAACGTGCGATATTTGTTTGCGTATAATGACGACTACATGAAATACCATTTCCAAACTCTTAAAGACTATTTCCACGCATATCCTTTTCCAGTACATGGGTTTTTTAAAATGTATGCTTAGGGTCATTCTAAAGTTAGCAGAAAATGCCCGTAGGGCTTCCCGAAGGCGCCACTTCTCCTTTAAGCAAGCCTATATTTGAACAAAGGAAAATACAAAACAAAGCGAGGCCAAGACCCATATTGTTGTCGTTGCTGCGGTCAGACTTGAGCTTCCATCTCCTGGATCTTTTGGATTTCCGCGCGTCCTTAAAAGCGTCATAGCTCGCTCCAGGCTGCCATTGTTGGGAGAGGGTTCAATTCCTAGCAAATGGCAGATAAGGGGATAGATATCTACATTCTTTATCGGCTCCACGGTCTCATTTGTCTTGAAGGCTGGCCCTCTGGCGACGAAGATTGGCCGCATGGTGAGCAGGTCGTCATCAAAACCGTGATCACCTTTGAACGGCCAATTAAGGCGCCGTGTAGCGTTCTGTCGAGAGTAAAATAAAATCTTTATCAATTGCGCTTTCTCCCCGATAGATTATGGCAAGATAGTAAAATTATATCGTAATAGTTACAACATTTTAGTGGTTAATGGCATTTCAAACACTGCGATGAGGAGTTACTACTAGTGCAGTTGCCCCACAATTCCCTCGTTTTCCTCCCCAACCCCTCCCTTCCCCTTTCCATTCTTCATTTTTCCTCCCTGTCCCCTTTTTACCTACCTCCATCTCTCTCTCTCTCTCTCTCT